AAAAAAAAATTGGAGTTTTTCTTCCAACCCATTTTTTTTTTTTTTTTGCTTTCCCTGCTGGCTATAATAAACCCCTGACCACCTGTGGGATCCTTCTTTCTCCCAGCTCCCCCCAAACCTCCTTTCCCTCCCCTTCCCCCCCCCTCCTCACCTACCCAAAATGCCAATCTTATCTCTTGAATCCCGCAGAGAGTGCCTCCGTGTCGGAAGGGGAGGAGAATTCGGTGATGCTATGAGCCTCCGAAGGAAGGCAGGTGAGGAGTAAAACGTTGGGTGACTGTGCACCAAGAATAAGTTTGGGGAGACCTTGGATTGCTTGGTGTCCCAGTCTTTGGGTCCTTCTGCCTTCTCAATGTGGCCGTGTCCATCTTCCATTTAGTTCAGGAAAATTTGATCCACGATAGCTTGGTCTAAACCAGGTTCCTTAGCTCCAGATTTGCACCTCAGATCCGATCCCTTTGGAAGGGAGGGCGAGGATGTTTCTCCCCCACCCCCCACCCCAAGAGCAGATCTTATAACTTCTTAAACATCTTTTTTTTTTTTCCCTTTCCTTTGCTGCAGATTGAAAGATTTGTTTCTTGGAAGGGACCGCAGAAAGCCTTTAATCGCCATTTCTCTGGGAAGTTGCACAGAAGACGGGAGGGGGGGGTGGCTGCGTTTCTGCCACCCCCACCCCCACCCCCCCCAAACTTGAGTTTATGTTCGCGTTGGGCTGTTAAGACCCTGAGTCCATCCCTCGTTTTCTGTACCCCATTTTTTTTTCTTTTTGGGTCCCCCCACCTGTCTGGAAAGGTTGGGACAGCCTGTGTTTCTTTGGCCTGAGCCGCAGTGCCTGGCACCCTGTATTGTGGGTCCAAAACTGCAGTGTGGAGGTGGGGGGGAAATGGTGGGGGGGGGGTGTCTAAAAGGACAGGGATAATATAGCGGCAAAGGGAGTGTTTGTTTTTGCAAAGAGTTTGGTTTTGAAACATGCAAACATGCAAAGCAAACTCTCCCTTCACCCCTATAATCCAAAGCGTTAAAACACGAAGGGCAGTGATGAGACGCCTCAAGTTTATATTTTTGTCTGAAATAAAGGCTGGTGTTTAGCAGTTCCAAAAATGCAGAGGTGTGTGTGGGAAGAAGATTTCAGCCCAGAATTGTGGGGAGAAAGGACGAGGATGCTTGTGGCCCCCAAACCGAACCCAATTATTTTGTGTCGGGATGGGACGGGAGATTCGGAGGGGCGCAGGAGGGATACCCTAAATTTACCCCTTTCCCTCCCTCCCTCGGCCTCAGAAGCTGCTAAGCCTTCATGCCACTTTAATGCCTTTTTTGGGGGGGGGGGG